CACCCACCCCCCTTTTTTTTTGCATGAAAAGAAATTGCGTCACAAAAGAAAAAAAGTCACTTGTTTGAGATCTGCATGGCAAAAACGTGCARCATGTGTTCTTGGATGTTTTAAAATGAATCTAATTGTTTTCTTTTGTCATTAGAAAATATTTATAGAGCACTTTAACAATGTCTTCATAAAGTTTGAATGTGTTTTCTGCAGATTAGCAATATTTTTGTGAGATTGTTAATTGGAATTTAATAGTGGTTTGAGAGGGGGTTTAAATTACAAAAAATTTTAACAAACATTAAAACAATACCGGATTTACACAATTTTAAACATGTTTGGCCACATGACATTTGTTATACAAGAAGCAAAAGATGAAAAAAAAAGCTTTAAAATCTCATTTGTGTTTTTGAAATACTGTATTTAAAAAGTTATATTCCTTTTAGGTAATTTCTCAACAAAAATTAATTTAAATATAACTAATAGAAGTCATTTCAACAGAATCAACAGTCATTTTTTACACGAAAAATACTAAAGTAACTAATTTAGACTAGTTAATAGTTCGTTTTATAGATTAAAATCTAAATTTAAAAGTAATATCAGAAACCATTTCATGTCTAAACATTTTTTTTTGGATATGATAAACAATTAAAAATCCATGATTTTTCTCTATTTTTTTAAAAGTGACACCTGGAGTTTGAAAYGTATAATCCCTGAAGGCAGCACAATAAGTGACTAGCCACTTAGCCTACACCTGAACGCATCACCGTGTATAAGACAGATGGTGGCGCACGATGCTCAGGTTCAAGCTTATCTCAAATCATTTTCAATTATTTCAAATTCATATAAAATATCACATACTACTGAAATATACTAGCTAATTATATATAGTATTTTTAACTTGTGGTAAACCTGTTGACCAGAGTTTACAAATTTCCGCAACTTGTTAGCCACTTTCTCTCTTGTTTGTGTTTACTACATATTGAAAATATTTCCAAAGGTATTTAGAATTATATGAAGCCTAAACTCCAAATTGTACATAACATAGCTAATAAATTATTTAATTATTCTGTGACTATCATTAAATGACGGTAGCTAAAGTTAGCTAATTAATTAACGCGCTTTATTAAATAAAAATGGCGGAGGACAGCTTGCCAAAGTGTAACGTTCACGCACGCTTGGGAAAATAAGCGTCACAGCAGCAGAACAAGTATGCTTTTTTTTTTAATGTGACATGCGCACATGGACTCAGCAGCAAGACTAGCGATCTGCTTGCTGTTCGACACGCTGTGGAGACGAAAAGACCCGAGATACGCCCCAGCAGCCGCGGGCCAGTAACCGATACGGGCTCGGGCACATTCAYCGGRACGGAGCGGCGGCGCYGGTGGTCCGAGAATGCCACAGCAAGTGAACGCATCGTCGGGGTTGGCTCGTGAGCCAGTAGCGCTCATCTTTGTATCGCTCATTAAGAGCGTCGTGATTTCTGCTTTTGTTTTTTCTCCTTTCAAGAGGAATTAAACATCAACAASAAGCATGCCGCCTCCTTCTCACAGCTTTCAGTCCAGCGGGCTGAGTTTCTCTGAAACGAGCATAGGTAGGTGTGTGTGAGCAAGGTGACCTGATATGTCTGCTGCAGGTTTTTATTATTATCAGTAAAAAAAATAATACAAATAATACTGGGTACATTTATTTTAAATCGTATCTTAGCTGTTTGTTAACGTGCAATTAGTTAAAGCTCACAAATGTTAGGCAAATACAAGTGTCTGCTCCTCATTCCAAAATCGATCCAAAACACTCGTTGCATCACATTTTTTTTATTTTTATTTTTTTTATTTTGGTCCAGGCCGCATCGCCTCACTGCAGGTGTGGAGGCTCAGCCTGGATGGACCTGCTGCTGCTGCTTAGAGGGCAGCCTGACAGGAAGTCAGAGCAGTGATGCAAGCTTTTATGAGATAAAAAAAGAGATGCCAACAGACAATTTTCGGCATTAAACTATATAAATATACATTTTGACACAATTCATATTAGATTTGTCAAAGTATATTTACGTGATAAAGTGGAGAGTTGTTTTATCAATTGTAATGATTATTCTGAAATGTTAAAACTGTCTTATATAGATCTAAAATCAAATTGGCTATGTTAATTTACAATTTAATCCAAGATTAAATCCCTGCTTCTCAGATAAGAATATGAAAAAAGTGAGGTGTTCATAATTGTTTTCCAGTTAATAGTTCCCCCACACACTTTGAGCTGATTGAATCATTTGTAAATTAAAACATGATTAGGATTAATGTTAGGGGCGGGGCCACTGGGGCATTGGCCCCAGCTGAAATCTGATTGGCCCCCTGAATTCTACCTAGGAGTGATGATGGTGGATGCAGTTCCATATTCAAACACTAGTTGCGCTAATGAGTCAAATAGTAAAGTCCAGAAATGAATCAAGTTTACAGAATTCTTCTTCTTAAGAAAATTTGAACAATCCTGAAAAAAATAATTCATCTGACAAATGATTGTTGGATTTTTAAACACATTGTGTGTTTGATAATATTCTATCTATGTACAGTAAAATGTATGAAAAACTGGGAATTGACTGAGAATTTACTGTGCAAGATTTATTT